GCGCCGAAATTCGTTAATTAATGAACTCCGCTTTATAAACCTTACCTTGCTATATGTTAAAATGTCTATGTATTAGATTATACTTATGTATAGGATGTTTGTATAAGCTTTTATCCAGCCTACGTTGGTGATTTATGAGTTTTTTTTTGGAAATTTGGTGGAAGATTGGTTCGAGACTTTTGGTTCGAGTTTTGGAATCGTTTAGAACCGTTTTAGAACTGCACAGGACTATTTGGAACGGTTTAAGCGGATCTTGGAACTATTTAGAACACTCCGAACTAGTTTAGAACGGATTCAGGACTGTTTGGAACTATTCAAGATGATCTTTGAAATGTTCAGAACTGGTCCAACTTCATTTAACGATAGAAAATTAGCATAAAAATTACAATTTTGGAATCGTTTAGGACCATTTTCGAACTGCACAGGACTATTTGGAACGGTTTATGCGGATCTTGGAACTATTTAGAACACTCCGAACTCGTTTAGAACGAATTCAGGACTATTTGGAACTGTTCAAGAGGATCCTAGAAAAATTTAGAACTGTTCAAGAGGATCCTAGAAACATTTAGAACTGTTCAAGATGATCCTAGTAACATTTAGAACTGGTCCAACTTCATTTAGCGTTAGAAAATTAGCAAAAAAATTTCCCGCGGTATCCACCGGAAAATTCCTTATATATCCAACGAACTTTTCCTTACCGGTGCTTTTCCAGGGAATCCAAAACAAGCGATAAAACACCCGGGAAAGTTTCCAGCTAATCGCATTTGAATAGAGCGCTGTGAGAGACAATAAAAAAAACAGCGCGAAGACAAAGACGGGGGGGCGCAGAAGAAAGAGATGTCGATAATAATAACGATAAAAATAATAATAATAAAGTTGGCCGTGTGTCCTACTATGTGCCAAAATCCCCTTTACGCGAAATATTAATATTAATGCAGTCGCCGAGGTTACAACTCTCGAGGAGTATACAGCATGGAGAGGAGTATATGGGAGTTCTCCTGCTCGTGAATTATTCATGGCTTCGATATATTAAATTAATTTCGCGATAAAGTTATGGATCTTCGGCTAACCGACGACTTCTATACCGCCCGGACTAATTGAATTACGTGCCCCGCTCTCCCCTCGCACAATAAAACCCTTTTCGCTCTTCTCTCTTCTCGCTGTAAGTAAATAGAACCCGGATTTATTTACTTTGCTCGATTTATTGCGCATTTATAAGTGGCTATTTGCTTAAATGCTTTTAAGATACTCGCTCGAATGATGGTGTAACTGGTTATTTTCGTTACTCGCCATCTCTATTAAATAACGTTTCGTCGATTACAGGTTTCTACGTTACCGTAAATGTCATATGTGACAGTTAGGTGTAACATAAAACTGTCAATTGAAAGATTCTCCTTAGTTACTCCATAACAACCGATACAGTAAAACTGACAGTAAAACTGACAGTAAAACTGACAGTAAAACTGTCAGTAAAAATTACAGTAAAACTGTCAAATGAAAGAATCTCCTTAGTTACTCCATAACAACCAATGTAAAACTGTCAATTTGAATGAATCTCCTTAGTTACTCCATAACAACAATGTAAATCTGTCAATTGAAAGAATCTCCTTAGTTACTCCATAACAACCAATGTAAAACTGTCAATTTGAATGAATCTCCTTAGTTACTCCATAACAACCAATGTAAAACAGTCAAATTGAAAAAAATCTCCTTATTTGAGCATTTGAATGATGTATTTGACATTTTCTTGAAGTTTTTATAAATGAAAATTGTAAAAAGAGAATAAGTAAAAAGGCGTGATTAGGGAAAGTCGTATAATTAGGTAATTATATTTCGTAAATAACTTTTTGGGAAATTGTCAGTGTAGAAGAGAAGTTGAAATAAAAAAGGGGGAATTCCCTCTCGGCCCTTTCTGGCCCTTTTCAGCTCTAATCGACATCGAAAATCTTATTGAATGGGCTTCGCGAAAAACGGAAAATTCACCCTTGTTTTCCACCGCTTTTCCCGGCCCGTTTTCGCCCATAATGGATTATTTAGCGAGTCGTTCGTGTTTTTGATTAGGTTAATTAAAAACGCCGAGGGCCCCGAAAATCCGTTACATCGCTCAAACGAAACGAAAAAATAAAATAAATTGTAATAAAAATTTTCTCCTTCGATCGTCCGAAAGTCACTGCAATTACTCGGAAATCTCGAAATCAAGTTAGGGTATTTTTTTATACAATAAAATGAGCTAGTCTCGTCTCAATTTTTTTTTCTAAGCCGAAATTTGTAGAATATCCGTATTTTTATAGATTTTTTTTTAAAATACAGTGTTGCCAAAATGAGAACAATTTCCCTAAATTTAGAGAATTTTATTGCAAACTTGGCGTTGGCAAAATTAGTAAAATTTCCGTAGATTTGGGGATTTTTTGTAAATATAGTGTTGCCAAAATGACAACAATTTCCCTTAATTTAGAGAATTCTGTTGTAAACATAGCGTTGCCAAAATTGGTATAAATTTCAGTAGATTTAGGGAGTAAACACAGTGTTGCCAAAATGAGAACAATTCCCCTAAATTTACAGAATTTTGTTGCAAACTTAGCGTTGCCATGATTAGTATAATTTCCGTAGATTTGAGGATTTTTTTTTTGTAAACACAGTGTTGCCAAAATTAGTATGAATTTCCGTAGATTTAAGAATTTTCAGTTTTCAACACTTTTTCCCCACAAACAAATATGAATCAACCCATCCCTTACCGGTATAGAGAGGTTAGATATCGCCCGTTTCGGAAGCTTTTGCCGGGCAATTTGCATAAAATTATAAGCTCGTGAGCTTAATAGAGGTGAGCTAAATTTCCAGCTAGAGAGCTACACACACACACACACATAGCGCCCGGTTATAATATAAGTTTTATGCATCGTATATGCGCTACTTTACGATCTAATATGAGCGAGAAGTAACCGGTTTCCATGTAGTACATAAAGGGCGTTTTGGCCCTTTTAGTTCACTTTGCAACTATATTATTACGTTTAAGAAGATACGGGGGCGGTTAATTCACCGCCACCGGTTAAATCCGAATGTGTATACTAAATTGTACGTGCGGCAACATCGCGATTAAACCCCCGTTTTTTATAATTATTTGTTACATTGGAGCATTGCCAAATTCGACTGAATTTCCGTAGATTTAGGGATTTTTTTGTGGCAACATCGCGATTAAACCCCCGTTTTTTATAATTATTTGTTACATTGGAGCATTGCCATATTCGACTGAATTTCAGTAGATTTGGGGATTTTTTTTATCCAACGTTGCGAAAATTAATATAATTTCCGGGAGTTTAAGGGAGTCTAGGCGAGATTAGGGGAAACTTATAAGGAGAATTTAGGGGAATCCAGGCGATTTTAGGGAGCCTGGTGGGTTTAAGGAAGTTTAGGGGAGTTTAGGCGAAATTAATGGAAACTTATAGAGAATTTAGGGGAATCCAATGAAGTTTAGGCGAAATTAGGGAAAACTTATGGATAATTTAGGGGAATCCAGGGGAGTTTAGGGAAGCCTGGTGAGCTTCAGGAAGTTAAGGGGAGTTTATGCGAGATTAGGGGAAACTTATGGAGAATTTAGGGAAATCCAGGGGAGTTTAGGGGAGCCTGATGAGTTGAAAAAAATTTAGGGGAGTTTAGGCGAGATTAGGGGAAACTTATGGAGAATTTAGTGGAATCCAGGGGTGTTTAGGCGAAATTAGGGTATACTGATGGATAATTTAGGGGAATCCAGGGGAGTTTAGGGGAGCCTGGTGAGTTTAAAAAAGTTTTGGGAAGTTTAAGCGAGATTAGGGGAAACTTATGTGGAGAATTTAGGGGAATCCAGGGGAGTTTAGGCAAGATTAGGGGAAACTTATGGATAATTTAGGGAAATCCAGGGGAGTTTAGGGGAGCCTGGTCAATTTAAGGAAATTTAGAGGAGTTTAGGCGAGATTAGGGAAAACTTAATTATGGAGAATTTAGGGGAATCCAATGGAGTTTAGGCTAGATTAGGGGAATCCAGAGGAATTTAGGGGTGTTCGGATGAGTTTAGTGAAGTCGAGTGAAGGTCCGGAATCCGGACGGGCCCGGAGTTTTCGCTTATGTAGAAAGGAAACGGTATTTTATTTCATCGACGCGTCGCTGAAAATTCGAAGAGACATCAAAGCCGCGAAAATTTCACAGAGCGAAATTCGGTTATCCCTTCGGTTTTTCTCTAACAGAGGGACTCTTTCTCTAACTCTCTTTTGTAGTCGTTCGAGCACTATTCGCTTTATTTATACGACGAATACGCTGTGAAAGTGTATAAACAAACAATAAAAATTATTAGAGGAGAGCAATTCGAGCGAGAATCGACATTAGATTTTTTTATTTTTTGTATGGGTGGATTTTCTTGTAAACGCAGCGTTGCCAAATTCGGTAATTTTCGCAAACTTTATGCATAGTATAGTTTCGATAAATTCGAGTAGATTTTAATTTTTTTAGATATAATTTCGAATTTTTATGCCCTGTTAATTTCCTCAAACTACAGTCGGGAAAACATTAATTCAATTCCTGCCGTTTGCTTTGCAGTAAATTAAGTAAATTCAACGCACACGCTCAGGAAAGCCGAGATTTTTTTTTTGTTAATAACTTTCCCATTTCCTTCTTTTGCTCTCTTTGAACCAACGAATTTCCAGCTTTTTCCGAACTCATCCAGAGGCTCTTCCCGATTGCACTAAAAAATAAAAAAATAAAAAAACCTCTCCAGGCGAAATTAAACGAGCACACGACCTCCCAGGATATTCAATTAAATGAGTAATATACTCACAAAAATACTTCATAAAAAATTAGCAAATTAAATTAGTAAAAATATCAGAAAATTAATAGAAAAAAATACATCAAAAGTGGATTAAAAAATCAACTACAATCAGCAAAAACCAATAAAACAACCAAAAAACCCAGCTACATAATATATTACAAATTGGATACAAAAAAAAACAATATTATTTCGTTTCTCCCACAATTCAAACCTTCTCCAAATCCAACCAAATTCCTCCGATGTTCGAAGTGAACAAAATCTTATCGTATTTCAACGGAGTGATCGTCTTCGAATTCAATTTGATCCGGTAGTTGTTCAACAACGTTATCAAACCGATCTTCGTCTGGTGCATACCGAACCGCATACCTGCCGAACCGAATTACCCATCAATACAAGACCAAAAACTTAAGAAGAAAAATGAAGAAAAATGAAGAAAAATGAAGAAAAATGAAGAAAAATGAAGAAAAATGAAGAAAAATGAAGAAAAATGAAGAAAAATGAAGAAAAATGAAGAAAAATGAAGAAAAATGAAGAAAAATGAAGAAAAATGAAGAAAAAAGAAGAAAAAAAAAGAAGAAAAAAAAAAAGAAAAACTCGCCTATGCAGATCCTCGGCCCTTCGCCGAAGGGCAGATGGCTGAAGGCCGGTCTCGATCGTTTGTTCTCGTCGCTGAATCGCTCCGGATCGAAGACCTCCGGGTCCGGATAGTACTCCGGATCGTAGTGGATGCCCCACACCGGTATCATCACGAACGTGCCCTCTTTGATTTCCAACGATTCGCCGGGCACCTTGAACGTTTTCGTGCATTTTCGTATGTTGATCGGCAGCGGCGGGTATTTCCTCAAAGACTCTATGAACGTACAAATAAGAAGAATACAGAAGATTAAAGAGAAGATGTAGCAAGCAGGTTGGTGTAGGAAGAGGTAGGAAGAAGCAGGAAGGTGTAGGTAGGTGTAGGAAGAACTAGGAAGAAGCAGGAAGGTGTAGGAAGGTGTAGGAAGAACTAGGAAGAAGCAGGAAGGTGTAGGAAGAACTAGGAAGAAGCTGGAAGGTGTAGGAAGAAGTAGGAAGGTGTAGAAAGAACTAGGAAGGTGTAGGAAGGTGTAGGAAGAAACAGAAGGAAGAGACAGAAAGGTATAGGACTAAGCAGGAAGAAGTAGGATGGTGTAGGAAGGTGTAGGAGGAACTAGGAAGGTGTAGGAAGAAGAAGGAAGGTGTAGGAAGGAGCTGGAAGGTGTAGGAAGAAGAAGGAAGGTGTAGGAAGATGCAGGAAGGTGTAGGAAGAAGCAGGAAGGTGTAGAAAGAACTAGGAACGTGTAGGAAGGTGTAGGAAGAACTAGGAAGGTGTAGGAAGGTGTAGGAAGGTGTAGGAAGAAGCAGGAAGGTGTAGGAAGAAGCAGGAAGGTGTAGGAAGAAACAGGAAGGTGTAGGAAGGTCTAGGAAGAAGTAGGAAGGTAGAAGAAGATAAAGAAGATGAATCTGTAGAAACGAATAGGTACGTACCTTGAATGATCATGTCCAAATAGGTCATCTCCATGACGGCGTCGTAGGTGAGCTTCCCGTCGTGCTTCTCCAACACCCTCCTAATCTCCGTCCTCGCCTTGTCCTGGACGTCCTGGTGGCGGGCCAATTCGAAGCAGGCGAAATTCATGGTGGTGGCCGACGTCTCGAAGCCGGCCACGAAGAACATGAAACATTGGGCGGCGATCTCGTCCATCGACATCCTCTCCTGGGCGTCCTCGTGGTTCTTCAAGCGCACCAGGAAGTCCAGGAAGTCCTTGCGTACGACGGCGTTGGTCTCGCGGTACGCCACCGTGCTGGCCAAGGAGCCGTAGAAGAACCGCTGGACGTCGCGACGCGTCACGCTGTAGCCGCAGAACGATAGGATCGAGTGGGGCACGGCGATGCCGAGGAAGAAATTGGCGATGTTCCTGAAGGACTTCTCGAATATCTTGGCGCCGAATCGTCGGAACTCAGCGTCCGGGTTCTCCAGGCTGTTGATGTCCAAGCCGAAGGCGCAAGAACCTGCCACGATTTGGTGAGGATTAACCGACATTTCCTAGATTTTCCCTGCGGTTTTCTAGCTATTACTAAGACTTCCAACCCTTTACTACCCCTTTCTAGTCTTCTCAAGCCATTCATATTTCCTTCGTAACTCTTCCTTAGCCTTCGATATCTTTTCCCACTGTTCCCTACACTTCCCAGCTCTTCCCTATACTCTTCCCTACCTTTCTACAGCCTTCCTTTCTCTTCCTTACGCCTCCTCTAACCATCCACACCTTTCCCTTATCTTCCACAGCCTTCCTTACTCTTCCCTACACCTCTCACTATCCCTCCACACCTTTCCCTTCTCTCCCACAGCCTTCCTTACTCTTCCTTACGCCTCCCCTAGCCCTCCACACCTTCCCCTTCTCTTCCACAGCCTTCCTTAGTCTTCCCTACACCTCCCCGAGCCTTCCACAGCCTTCCATAGCCTTCCCTACACCTCCCACTATCCCTCCACACCTTTCCCTTCTCTTCCACAGCCTTCCTTAGTCTTCCCTACACCTCCCACTATCCCTCCACACCTTTCCCTTCTCTTCCACAGCCTTCCTTAGTCTTCCCTACACCTCCCCCAGCCTTCCACAGCCTTTTTTAGCCATCCCTACACCTCCCCCGATGCCTCCACACCCTTCCACATCCCAACCCCGGACTCACCGATGACGTCGGTGGTAAACCTGGCCATGATCTCCTTGATCTCGATCGGATCGTCGAGCCTCTCCAGCGCCCCGGTGAGCCCCTCGGAGCACTTCAACAGCGTCTCGTGCATCGTCTTCATCTTGCCCGACGTGAAGGTGGGCGACAGCTTCGATCTGACGTCGCGCCATTTCGGGCCGTCCACGTTGAAGATGTGCACCGATAGGGGATCGTTGGCGGCGTCGCTGTAGGTCCCGTGGCTGTGGAAATGCGGAAAATCCGCCACGTAGACGGCCTTGATCAGCGCCAAATCGACGGGGACGAATTGCGGCTGGCCGGCGAACGACACGCCGAAGTAGCGTTTGCCTGAAATGGCGGGGGCGAGTGGGACAGAAGGGGATAGAACGCGGTGGTGAATGAGGGTCGAGAGGGGACGAGTAGAGGCGAGTGGGGGTGAGTGAAGGCGAGTGGGGGCGAGTGGAAATGATTGAGGACGAGTGAAGGACGGTGGGGGTGAGTGGGGGCGAACGGGAAAGGTTGGGATGAACGAGAATCGAGAGGGAATAAGTGAGGACGAGTGGGAGCGAGTGGGGGCAAATGGGGGCGAGTGAGAAAGATTGGGATGAACGAGAATTGAGAGGGAATGAGTGAGGACGAGTGGGGGCGAGTGGGAGCGAGTGGGAAAGAACGTGGGGCGAACGAGGGTTGAGAGGGGACGAGTAGAGGCGAGTATAGAGGCGAGTGGGGGCGAATAGGGGCGAGTAGAGGCGAGTGGGGACGAACGGGGGCGAGTGGGATTGAGTGGGGGCGAACGGGGAGAGTTAGAAAGAATGGGAATGAACGTGGGGCGAACGAGGGTTGAGAGGGGACGAGTAGAGGCGAGTATAGAGGCAAGTGGGAATGAGCGAGGACGATGTGAAGGACAGTGGGGGCGAGTGGGAAAGAATGGGATGAACGAGAATTGATAGGGAATGAATGAGGACGAGTAGAGGCGAGTGGAGTCGAATGGGGGCGAGTGGGAAAGAATTGGATTAAAGGGAATTGAGATTGAATGAGTGAGGACGAGTGGGGGCGAGTGGAGAGAACGAAAAACCGGTCGAAATTAGTAAAAATTGTTTAAAAATGCCTGATTCAAAAGTACCTTGTTTCTTATAGTCCAAATAAGCCTCCTGCACGACCTGGCCCAAGGATTTGTCGCCTACGATGAAGTCCTTGAAAGTACCGAGAAGCGGATAGGTGGGGGGCGTCGGGACGCCTTTCCTTTGCCAATAGTACAAGGCCCACAAGTGCCATGTTGCCAGTACTGCTACCAATGTAACGGCCAGTACGACCAAATCCGCTGCTATGCTATTGGTTATTAACATAATCTAGCAGCTGAAAATTAAATAATTTTAATATTTATAGATGTTTATAGGTACTAATCTAACTATAGAATAATCCAACTCTTCTCCTACTCTTCTCCAACTTTAATCAATTTTACTTTAATTCTACTCTAATTCTACCTCAACCCTTTTGCTACTTCGACTAAGTAAAACTATCGTATAAAAAATAATCGATTAATCGATCGAACATTAAAAAGAATCGTTTTACAAACACTCACCTTTGGGGATCCTTATTTTAAACTCGATTCGAATATTCCAATCGGAATGATAATAATAAATAATTCTATCCCGAGAACAATATGTTGAACGATAAGGAATTTTATCTCGACAAAAACGGTACATTACATTACAAAATGAAAGATGCAAATAGCATGTAATGACCTTCGCAGGATTCGAAAACAACATAGATACCTACTAATAATATTGTTGATACTCTCTATAAGCTAGTCAAAAGTTCAATTGGATCGTAATTGTTGATAATTTTATTATAAAAACTGGCGATGTTATATTTAGTATAATTACTTGCATTACTTGCAATTTAAATCGATGATAATCATTTGATATTAAACAAATAAACAAACGCTACGTGAAAATATTTCAATTAATTGATGCATATCTCTCTCTAAACAGAGGAATCTTCTCTTCAAAGTTAACGGGATTATTATAAGTTTTCCATTGTGCTCTCGAGTAAAGTTTGTATTAAGTTCGCGCGAAAACGAACAATAATAATTTCCGAAACTAAACAGAAACAAGCGGACGGAATTTTCCCATTAATTATGTTTTCAAATTTCAATCGTCACTGTTTTTCTTTCCTTGACAGAGATGGAATTGTTCCGATAACAGTTCTATATGATCCTAGAAAGATTCGAAATCGTTCTAAACCGTTCTGGTTCGTTTCAAAGTGTTCTGGAACTGTTTTAATCCATCCTGGAACAGTTGTAGTTCGTTCTAAAAGCGCTCTAAACTGTTCCGAACAGTTTTAGTTCATCCTGAATATAGTTCGAACATGACTTGAACTGTTCTAGTTCATCCTAAAAGCGCACTAAACTGTTCTGAACAGTTTTAGTTCATCCTGAATAATTGACTTGAACAGTTCTAGTTTTTGATAAAGCTATCGAAGCGCCATCTGGCGTACGAATCGCGTACACGTTTATATGGGAGAATATTGTAAATTCTGGATATTTTCCAATTACGAAACTACCCCGGGAGATTTAACGAATTTATCGCGGTAATAAGCCGAATGCACAATGCGCAAATGTGCAAGGATATTAATTCTGGAAATTTAAAAGTCCTTGCATTAAAAATCGAAGGTATATTCGCGAAAATTATATTCACGAAGGCTCTTCGTGAACGTAATTTGTGAACAAAATTTGTGAACACAATTCGTGAACGCAATTCATGAACGCAATTCGTGAACGCAATTCGTGAACGCAATTCGTGAACAAAATTCGTGAATGCGATTCGTGAACGCAATTCGTGAACACAATTCGTGAACGCACAATATTGTGTGAATCGAACTGTCAAATAATCAAAACGGCCCCCGGGGGTAATAAATAAATGAATAAATAAATAAAAAAAACGAGCGAATCTGCGCCGCGACGGTCCCGCTATAGCCCTTCGAAGGCGTCCCGACGCTGCACCGGCGTCGGTCCGTGCAGTAACGTCCCGACGCCCTACCGTGTTATACCGACGGGCGCCCGATTATGCTCGAACATCGCGCGAGTTTCGATATATTTACATGAAACAAAAAAATGAAATATTTGTATCAATTTACTACATAATTACGGTAATTAAGATAATTAATTAATTTACAAATTGCAAAAAAATACATGTGAATAGAGTACTATAATTGAATAATTGCAATTTGTTTTAGTGTGACGTCACGACTCGTTTATATTGAACATACTATATGCGAATAATGCGTTCTGTGCTGTTCGGTGCAATTTTCGAATTTTTTATTTTCGGTGAGTTACATTTGTTAATTAAATTGCTTTTTAATCAATTTTCAATATGAAGTTATATGTGCAAAAAAATTAAAAATAAGTGTGTTTCATACAACACTTTATCTACCACCTCGTAGAGGGTACATAACGACACTTTATCTACTGAATACTCGACTCGAATAAAAATAAATCGGAAAACCGTTTTTCACCTTTCGCTTTCCGCGGAAAATCTCCCGATTTTCCCTCGCGGACGATACGCGTATATACAGCAGTAACCGGGGAAAAGCGATTCGGTTTCCCGATTTTCCCGAAGAGGAAAATCCTTTCGGAAAATTCGCCGCTCGTTAGCCCGATGGAAAAGCGAGGTCTCTTTCGGAACTTTTCCCGTCGCTCGGAAAACTGTACGATAAATCCTTCACCGGCGTGATTGACTTTTCGCCGACGATTCGACATTTTCCGGCGGTAAGCCGAAGGAATCGATGTCGCCTATTATTGCTATATAACGCGGAAAAGTGTACTGAATTGTTCAAAAATTAAAAAGAATCGTTTTTTCTTTACAAAATAAACCGAACGGCGCTTTTCTATCTCGATTAATATTGGAGAAAAACCTGGCACAAAATCCAGAAAAACCCAATCGAGATATCTCGATTAGTTTTCGAGATAATCCCCCCATTATGGCTTATCACACACGTTGTATATCACACACACATACGTGTCCAGTTATCCAGACATCCAGACATCCAGACACGCGTGTATCTCCATTCTAAATCGCCTCTCACCCGTTTTCCAGCGAGTTTTCCAGCGAGTTTTCCAGCGGGTTTTCCGCTGACACACTACCCTCGCTCTAGCCGGAATAAATTCGGGAGGATTTCCATCGCGTCCTCGTGGAAACCGTTCCGCGTTTTCCGTTTTCCATTTTCCATTTCCACGGTTTTAAATTCGAATTGAATTCCGCGGGAGCGGTTTCTCTAAATTAATGCGGAGAAAAAAAAAGGATGAGAAAAAGGGCTCTAAATTGTTTTGAGAAGTTCTGGTTCGTCCTAAAACTGTCCTGATTTTTCCTGGAACGTTCTAAACTGTTCTAATTCATCCAGATTAGTTCTGAATTGTTCTGAATAGTTCCAATTCATACAGCTTAGGGGCGGTATTCTCCAAATATGTATAGAGGTAAATGAAAAAAAAAATGGTAATATAAAGAAATCGATGAAATAATCAATAGTGGAATAACATTATGGAAATTTATGTGAGACATAATTAGATTTTTTTCCACAAGTAAAGTTAGACTTTTTAAGTACAATTTTTTTATCCTTTTTGGAAAAGAATGCCATGGAAATGACGCGAGTCGAGTTGAGTAGAGTCCCCCCCGGGAGAGGGAGCCTCCTCCGCACAGAGGCTCTAATTATAAGTGACGTTTCGGGAGTGTTTAGTCCCCTTTACATATTCATAGGAAACGTCCGGAATTTCGAATTTATTCGCGAAATCCACCCGGAGACTTTTTAATTCTTTTCTCTGCCGCTCGCGCGGCGCTTTCCCCGGACGCATTTCCATAATCTTTTTCTCTCTGAGAGAGCACCGCGAAACGCGTCAATACTTAAAATAACGCAATTTTCCACCCTTCTTTTCTTTTCTTTTCTTTCTCTATTTTTTATTTATCATCGCCGAAGAAGAGTAGGTGGAAAAACGTTTTCAAATCCGCGCGGTGCCTCGCCCCTTTTTTCATGAATTATGCAAGGAAAATGGTAATTTTCCCGAGAGAAAAAATAACTGTTGATTGTCGACAAGTGAAGGTACCCAACAATTGACAGATGACAGAGTAAATTGACAGTATAGACAAATGACATGCACTTCATCCTAAAACTATTCTATAAACATCAGTTCTGAGTTGACAGTCGGAAAATGACATCGTTCCGGCAATTGACAAATGACAATTCATACTGGCAAATGACAGTTCTTACAAATATTGACATATCACAGTATTGACAGATGACAGATGTGTTATATTACAGCTAATAAACGAGAGAAATGACAGTTATAACAATATTTCAAACTTGTCATTAGACCAGAGTAAAACAAAATTTCGTGTAACCGCATACATATTACAAATTTACGAAAAATCCTCGTAGTACAAAATTTTCCCGTTTCGCCCGATAAATTTTCCTCCTTTTTTTTAGTTTATTTTTTTTTTCTTCGTCGATTTATAACCCCGCTTGTATGCTATTGACAGATGACAGAGTAAATTGAAAGTATAGACAAATGACATGCACATCATCCTAAAACTATTCTAAACATCAGTTCTGAGTTGACAGCCTGAAAATGATATCGTTCTGAGGGTTCTGATGGCAGTTGACAAATGACAATTATAACAATATTTCAAACTTGTCATTAGACACTATAGAGTAAAACAAAATTTCGTGTAACCGCATACATATTACAAATTTACGAAAAATCCTCGTAGTACAAAATTTTCCCGTTTCGCCCGATAAATTTTCCTCCTTTTTTTTTTAGTTTATTTTTTTTTCTTCGTCGATTTATAACCCCGCTTGTATGCTACAGGAGAGCTGTATTAAGTTTCTCGGGGCATATTCGACGACATCTACCCCGGGTCAACGGGTCTATTGTACACACATTTACCGTTTTTCCAGCGACCCTTCGCCGGCTTTTCCGGCCCTCTTCGTCCGTCGATCGCTGCGGAAAAGTCGCTGGAAAAGTCGAAAGGGATATTTGAGTTATGGTCTCCTGGCACGTCGAAGGATCGTTTATTCAAGGATCGACGATTTACGATAATGACGTTTATAACCTTACCTATACCGATTGACCGATGTAACAAAACGATTTTCCCGGCTTTCCATTTTCCATCATCCTCGACATGACCGGTTTTCGTTTAGGGTTTAATAGAGCGTAATTTCCCGGCGAGTTTTCCTCCTTTATCCCGTATATAGGACTTACTCTATAGGCAAATTCCGATTTATTTACTAAATATTATAAGTCATACCAACCGAATAAAAGTTACTACCAACTGTGTGGAATAAAAGTTACCTACTAGGAAGAATAATGAAAATGAAATATGAAAAATGAAATATCAAGAATTTTATGTAAATCATAGGGAATAAAAATTATTAAACGTACCATCAAAGGTAGTCAGTAGTTACCAATTGTGTGAAATCAAAGTTACTAAAATTACTAAATGAGATTTCGAATACAGGGTGTTTTAAACAAAATCATTTTTAATTTTTTTGCTCGATAACGGTCACAGAAACGAAAAAAGTTTAAAAATAAAAAAAGTTTCTAAACACAACAGACAAATAATTTTGTATTTTAGAATCTACCAGCGGCGCACAGCAAAAAAGTTCGAGGGGAAAAAGGGTACACTACAAAGAAAAAACAAAAAAAAATTGAAATTTCAACACCCTGTAGATCGATAAATAAGCCTTTGTGAACTCACATTTATATGAAAAAATTTTAGAAAAAAAAAACTTTTTTATCATAATTTTCTTATTACTTCAGTTATTTTTAAGAAATTTTGTATACACTTTTTAATTATTAAGGGGCATTTTTTGAGTCGTAAGATTTTTTTAAATTTTCACCAGTGCCGTCCGTACTGAGCAAAATAAAAGTTATATTAAAGAAAATGATATTGGGCAATACAATATGGCGCAAACCGGTCCTGATATAAAGTGACGCAATTCGTGGAACGTGAAATCATAAACTGACAGGGAAAGAACGACGATCACGCTGTTCTAGGACGAGCCCGAACGCGACGTTGCCACATACACGTTGTTTCCGGATTTTATCGATTTCTTATGAAACAATAAATAACGAATAAATCCGTTAAGCGAGTCATCTAATATCTACAAAATTCAACTATTAATCTAATAATCCAATTTAATATATTTTGTACCATTTACTGTTTCTTTAATTAATCATCAGAAATTCGCTACTTGTCGAAATTTTCACAGTAAATGAGAATATTGTAAACACTTGGCAACCCCGCTCAATGACGACTAGATTTCTCCACGCGCAATCGAACAACCAGCGCCCAACGTTGCCACATCTACCGAATTTCCCTTTACATCCCGAATTACCCGAATTACTACATAAATAATTCGAATGAAATTTATAGTTTCAGCTTATATCTACCGGATGGAAACTTTAAATAGTTTATTGTATTAAATATTTATTTATTGTACTGTTTAAGTGAACGCAAAAAGGATAGTTTTGAATTAAAATAGATTTTAAAAGGATTGAATGAAATTCTCGAAAGAAACGCGGCAACGTCGCCCTGACGAGCGCCTACTAGACACTTCACTTTCTCATTCATCGAAGCACAGCTGTCCTAGATAAAGAATAACAAATAATATTGTACCGAATTGCATTTAAACCGCCCCCCCAGTAAACCGCCCCTTCGGAGTGTACAGTGATAAAGTTCAAAGTGTTCAAATCGAATTAAAAGTGAACCACCAGCAACCGCCGAGAAGGATAAGATAACAGTAAAAACAAAATGGCGTACCAACACCACAACGGACCGCCGCAACCAGGACCGTACGCGCCCCCCTACGAGCCCCAGGCGCCCCCGCAATACGGCGCCCCGCCCCCGGGGGCCTACCCGCCGCCCTTCCAACAGCAACCGCCCTTCGGCCAGCAGCCCTACGGCGGGCCGCAACCGCCGTTCGGCGGCCCCCAACCGCCCTACGGGGGCCCGCATCAGCATCAGCCCCCTTACGGGGGCCAGCCGCAGGCCTACCCATACCCCCAGGGGCACCAGCAGCCCTATTATCCGCCCCAGCAGCACAGCTCGTCGGCCGACGATGATGATTGTTGCAAATGGTGTTGCGGTTTGACGTGCCTGTCGTTGTTGTGTTGTTGTTTGATGAACAACGATTAGGCGAAATATATTAATACGGTAAATTTGCTAATTTGTACAACACACCTTTCTATTTTTTTTCCATTTTTGTTAATTTTAATTGAAATAAGAGAGTTGTTGGGTCAACGTCAACTGTCAAATGTCAAATGTCAACTTCGAC